CAATCTAGATGGCCATTTCACTTTACACCCTGATGAGACTTCATTCCATACCTTATTGATGTCCACTAAAGTGTTGCCATTATTGCTATTACTACTACCAGGAGTAAATGAGAAAGAGAGGCAGAGATTTCGTTTTGTGTGTGTGTGTGTAGAGAGAGAGTGAAAGATAGAGGGGAGAGAGTTAGATAGAGAGAAAAAAAGAGAGTGTGTGTGTATATAGAGAAAGAAAGAAAGAGAGAGACAGAATCAGAGAGGGGGGAGAGAGAGAATAAAGACAGTGAGGAGAGAGACTAGAGAGGGAGTGTGTGTGTATATATATGTGTGTGTAGAGAGAGAGAAAGAGAGACAGAAACTGAGAGGTGAGAGAGCGAGAGTGGGAGAGAAAAAAGAAAGTGAGGAGAGAGCGAAAAAAGAGAGTGTGTGTGTAGAAAGGGGAAAGAGAAAGACAGAAAGAGAGGGGAGGGAGCAAGAGAAAGAGAGAGAGAGCATGAGGAGGGGAGAGAGAGAGAGTGTGTGTGTGTGTTCGAGAAAGAGAAGGGGGGAGTAAGAGAGATAATACAAAGACAGAGTGAAAAAGTGGGAGAAAAAAAGAAGGGAGAGGGAGATAAAGAGGGCAAAAGACAAAGAAAGAGAGAGAGAGAAAGGAAAGTGTGTGTGGGGGGGGGAGAAATAGAGAAAAGGATAGCGTGTTGTGTGTGTGTGTGTGAATGTGTGTGTGTTAGAGAGAAAGAAAGAGGAGGAGCGGGAGAGAGTATGTGAGAGAGAAAGTAAGAGAGAAAGAGAGAGATTGTGTGTTAGAGAGAAAGAGAGGTGAGAGAGAGAGAGAGAGAGAGGGGGAAAAGATAAAGGAGCAGGAGAGAGAAAGAGATAAAGAGGGAGAGGGAGGGAGAAAAGGAAAGAGACAAAAATATATATAGAGTGAAGAGTGTGTGTTAGTGAGAAAGAGAGAGGGTACAGAGAGAGAGAATGGGGGGATAAGAGTAAGAAAGAGAGTGTGCATGTGTGTGTGCTAGTGAGAAAGAGAGAGAGTGTACAGAGAAAAAAAAGAGTGTGTGTGTGGGGGGGGGGGGGGGGGGGAGGAGAGAGAAAGAGAGAGAGAGAAAAAGTGCATGTGTGTGTGTGTGAGTGTGTGTGTGTGTGTTAGTGAGAAAGTGAGATGGGGAGAAAGAAATAGGGAACAGAGAGAAAAAAAAAGAGGGAGAGAAAGAGAGGTGTGTGTCTTTGTGAAAAATGAAGATAGAATAAGAGAGGGGGGTCAGAGAGAAATCAGAGAGATGGAGATAAAGAGTGAGTGAAAGAGACAGAGAGATACTAAATGGCCAATACCTGTATTGCTGCAGAAGCAGTGTTATAAATCACAGTACCCTATGATCAATGTGTTACATTGGATGGAGCAAGCCAAAACAAAGTGTAAATCCGACTTAACTTATGTTTAAACGTCTATTATGATCATGATCATGAATTAGGAAAGAGAAAGGGAGAGAGAGAGAGGGGGGAGAGGGGGGAGAGAGGGAGAGAGAGGGGGGGGGGGGAGAGGAAGGGAGGGAGAGATGGAGTGAAGGGGGAAGAAAGGGATCAAGGGAGGGAGAGAGAGGGAGAGAGAGGGGGGAATAGGAGGGATGGAGAGAGATAGAGAGTGAGAGATGGGGGGGGGGGGGTGAAGGGAGAGATAGAGAGCAGGGGAGAGAGAGAGAGAGAGAGAGAGAGAGACCACAGTGGTGGTGCCCTGTACTAAAAGTAGGAGAGAGGGAGGGAGGGAGAGGGAGGGGGGATCCCACAGTGGTAGTGCCCTGTACTAAAAGTAGAAGAGAGAGAGGGAGAGAGAGAGGGAGGGAGAGAAAGAGAGAGAGAGAGAGAGGGGGGGGTCCCACAGTGGCAGTTCCCTGTACTAAAAGTAGGAGAGAGAGAGGGGAGAGAGAGGGGGAGAGGGAGATACAGATCCCACAGTGACAGTGCCCTGTACTAAAAGTAGGAGAGAGGGGAGAGAGAGGGGGGGAGGGAGAGGGACAGAGAGGAGGAGATAGAGAGGGAGGAGAGAGAGGGGGGAGAGGGAGGGAGAGAGAGGGGGGGAGAGAGAGAGAGGGGGGAGAGAGAGAATAGAGAGAGGGGGGGGATCCCACAGTGGCAGTGCCCTGTAGTGGCTTTGTAACTCGGAGGATGACTACAGGTTGCCGAGTCCAGTGATCGGTATGGGAGCCGACATAACCCGTTGATTATTACACATACCTTAGTAGGAGTGCCGCTTCCCAGAAGTAAAAGCCGGACACAGCTGTCAGGATACATCTTATCCTTGCCATGGTTGTGGCTCGTGATAGGCTGTGGACTGCCAACCATCAAAGTGACAGATGAGCGGAGTAGGTAGCAGGAATGAGCAGGGCTCTGGGTTCAGCACCACGGACAGCTCCACAGCGAGCTCCCGGTAATCCCAATCAGCCCAGCGAAGAATCAGCCTCGCAGTCATCTACTGTGGACTATTGGAGTGGGGGGCTTCTCTGGCATACATCATCAATGGCCCCAAATCCACAGTGAAGACAATGAGAATGAAGAGCAGGCAGAAGTGTGGGGTCCAGCTGCATTCCTATACACTGAAATGTGTCTGAGCTTTGGCTGGAGGAGGATGGACCATGGATCAGGGGATGGATACAGGCGTGTTAGGCAACAGCCAATGAAAGAAGGAGTTTATTTGAAGGCAGAATAAAAGGCAGTAGTAACCTCTTTTATCCTGACCATACACGTGGGTCCTAGCAATAGAAGGCAGTAGTATTATAGTTCTGATGTAGAGATCTCGATTTACTTCCTACATGATCGTGAACTAGATCTATAATTAGGTGTTTCATTAACAGAAATGTATTCGTTTGCCCATATGCCTTTTTTTCATAATGAGCATAAATAGCCTACCTTCTTATTTTTATGTATACATATTTTTTGTTTACCTGTCATCCTTTAGATGCAGATTTTGATTTATGTGCTCTATTTAGCAGAGAGAACCTGTCTGGGCAGTGTTCCTGATCTCCTGCTTAGGCTTTCTATCTGTGATCACAAAGCAGAGTGACCAGTAGGGAGCAATGAAGACAGGGGATGTCTTTTCTCTTCTAGTCGAACAGCTCTATCACTGCAGACTGTCACAATGGTAGGCTCAGCTGTGACTGCAGGACTGAGACACAAAGCCTATTGCTTACCAGACTCTTATGTGACTGTCATCCAGCTAACCAATATACCAGCCACCCTGTTGCTTGAAGAAATAGAACATTAATATGTAATACTTAAACACCCTATGCAGTATATAAAGCATTATTAATACCAAACTTATATTTCAGCGCAACCAATCTATAAATGAGGTGGGTGTACTTATTTTCTTTTTATACTTTGTTTTCCTTTATTTTTACTTGATGGTCCAGCCAGTAACGCACTTGCTGTGGCTTGATTCATACCTTTGTGTTTTTATGTGACTTTTGTAATGAATAAAAACGAATGTTAAAAAATATACCTTGAGTCAGATGAGGCAATTAAAATCTGTGTACTGTCCAATTTAAGACCCATTCACAGTATGTATGTTTTCTGGCTCATATACGTGTATGCAACTGCACATAGTTTGCATTTACATGCATTTTTCTAAGCATTTTCAATTATCTGGAAAAGGAAAGGTAGGAAAAATGCATGACAGCGGAAATGGATAGATGTGACCTGGACCTTAGTGTGGTTCTATTTTATGAAGAAACAATGGAGACACCTTTGAACAGCAGCATTGTCAATTTGGGAGAGGATAGTGTTAGATGCACTAGAACATTTAGATGAACTTGAGTAAGAAATTAAAGCCGAACTCTAGCTAATAATTTTTAGACAGTTACAGCAACAGGTTTTTTTCTTCATTTTGAGGTTTTATATAAATAAATAAAAGCTTACCATTGTAAACACCCCCTGTCAGTGTTACATGGTTTGTTGCAACCCTCCAACTTCCACTGATCTGTTAAAGGAATTTGAAAAATAACAGACTTATGAGCTGGACCATCAGATGAAAATAAAGGAAAAAAGCTTAAAAAAATAAAACCAATGCAACCACCACATGCATTATTATATATATATATATATATATATATATATATATATACATATAGATATGATTTGGGGTTGAAAACCTCTTTAAAGCAGAAATAAACCCATCCGTTTATTGGTTTTCCAAAACAATTACATTCACTCTTAGTTGTGTGGGCGCTCAACCAAATCGTCAAACCATTAGATGTACTAAAGAGAATATAATGGTGCAGACCTATAATCTATTAATAAACAATAAATTGATAAACACATACACATATGAATATAAATAAACAGAATGCGATGTATAAGTGCTATGCAAATAGTAGATCAAGTACATATGAAATTATGAATGACTGTGTACACACACACTATATAAAAAAAAGAACACGTTATATACAAAGTTTAATAAAGTGTTCCATATCTTCCTAAAATAAAAAAAAAAAAACCTCTCATCAGTATCCTTAAAGTGCCAAATGAAATGTGGCTGTGCTCTACCAATATTGTGCACAAGTAATCATCAGTGCCTAGCCCACTGAAGTGCTCACTCAACCAAAAGACATGTGACTTCTAAAAATATAAAGAAAGTTAGGAATAGGCTTTATGGATATAAGATCCACTCCTCCTTTCCTCAGTCTGCTGCTTCACTCACCTGGTCCCACAGGTATGCATATGCATAATTACATTGGCCCAAGCTATGTAACTATGCAATAACATCCAACCTGGAATTCAGCTTTAATCACTAGGCTTATATAGATTCAGTAGCAGGGGCGGACTGACAACTCATGGGGCCCCCGGGCAATAGGGGATCATGGGGCTCCTGTGCCCTTGCCCACACTCAAAAAAAGCCTATAAAAGCTACCAGGAGCATTTCATGGGGCCCCCTACTGACCCCGGGCCCTTGGGCAGTGTCCGAGTTCTCGAATGGTCAGTCCACCCCTGTTCAGTAGTAAACTGCATATTGTTAGGATGCAGGCTTCCATTGCTGGCCTCCCATTTTGAAAATACTAGTTCTCTGAGTTACATGCTGAGCCAGGTACCCCAATATTTTGAATCACTAAGCTGAAAAGTATCTCTACCAGGAATTCTCACCTCATTGGCTGCATATTTTTTTCTTGGTTAGGGATGAGTCCAGGTTCGGTGTGTTGAGGGTTCAGTAAATCCTGTTTAAAGTTCTATGACCACAACATAGCTGCAAACCTCATTTTAGTCTATGTGAGCTGAATCCTGCTAGGAAATTGGAGTCATTTTAAGGGCTAATAGACAAACTGTAAAAAAGGCATGTAATACTGGGAACTGCAATGTGGGAACATGTACCAATGCAGAAATGCTTTTTAAAATGACCATACAGCAGGCAAAGGTGGTTCCAAGGGTAAGACTAAAACCACACAAATCCTTAAAATTATATTATAGGGAATGCCTTAAATCTGTATGTGGTATTATGGTACCATTTTTACATACAATCACATTTTTCTCTGTTAATTCTTTTTTATTAAGAGTTAACTTGTACATGCAGTACCCTAGTCTGATTCATTGTAGACTAAATGTTGTAAGAAAAAAGGAAAAAAACAGTGCAAGAATCCTGAGTGATATAGTTGACCAAATTTGTTCAAGGACCAAAAATTGGTTAATGGCATTACCTGGGATTCCCAGCCATCTGCATATATTATGCAGTCAAAAAATCTGCCATTTAGCAATTAAAGTGTAGCATGCAACATTACTTTGCTGGATAACATGATTTATGTGGATTACATCACTGAATTCATGTAATTCAGGGAATATTCATAAAGTGTATTTTCTATGTGTCTGTGTTGTATTTCAAGTACTTTTTAAATGTGTATGTGTGTGTGTCTGTGTTTATTTTATTTTCAGTCTTTGTGATAATGGGTAAAGGGTACTAATGTACCCCTATACTCATTTCCCTGGGAACTTTTCTATGCACATGACATAAGATAAAAGTGACTGGTGACCTCAAGTCAACCACAACATAATATTAAAGACAGATACGCCCACAATAATAGGAAAAATGGGAGCAGAGGTTTTGCTTACCCAAAAGAGCTAGCAATAAGAATGATCTGACCGTAATCTCTCCATATGTTTGTCAGATTTTCATATCTACTCCCTGCAGCAGCTTCAAATTTTTTATAAGCGTATTCTGTTTAAGTCTATTTCAAGTGTTTTTTAGATAGCATATTATACACTGCTCAAAAAAATTAAAGAAACACACTTTTTTTAGAAGATTTGCTGTGTCTCCCCGCACAGTCTCAAGAGCATGGAGGAGATTCCAGGACACAGGTAGTTACTCTAGGAGAGATGGACAGGGCCCTAGAAGGTCCTTAACCAATCAGCAGGACCGGTATCTGCTCTTTTGTGCAAGGAGGAACAGGATGAGCACTGTCAGAGCCCTACAAAACGACCTCAAGCAGGCCACTGGTGTGAATGTCTCTGACCAAACAATCAGAAACAGACTTCATGAGGGTGGCCTGAGGGCCCAACGTCCTCTAGTGGGCCCTGTGTTCACTGCCCAGCACCATCTCAATTGGCATTTGCCATTGAACATCAGAATTGGCAGGCCTACCACTGGCACCCTGTGCTTTTCACAGATGAGAGCAGATTCACCCTGAGCACGTCACAGACGTGAAAGTGTCTGGAGAAGCCGTGGAGAACATCATGCTGCCTATAACATCATTCAGCATGACCGTTTTTGTGGTAGGTCAGTGATGGTCTTGGGAGGCATATCCAAAGAGGGACAGATCTCTACAGGCTAGACAATGGCACCCTGACTGCCATTAGGTATTGGGTGAAATCCTTGGACCCATTGTCAAACCATACGCTGGTGCAGTGGGTCCTGGGTTCCTCCCCGTGCACGACAATGCCCGACCTCATGTGGCGAGAGTATGCAGGCAGTTCTTGGAGGATGAAGGAATTGACACAATTGAATGGCCCCTACACTCGCCTGACCTAAATCCAATAGAACACCTCTGGAATATAATTTTTCAATCCATCTGATGCTGCCAGGTTGCACCTTAGAGTGTTCAGGAGCTCAGTGATGCCCTGGTCCAGACCTGGGAGGAAATACCCCAGGACACCATTTGTCATTTCATTAAGAGCATGCCCTGACATTGTCAGGCATGCATACAAGCATAAGGGGGCCATACAAACTATTTTAAAGTTGCTGCAATGAAATTTCAGTAAAATGGACTAGCCTGCTGCATCATTTTTTCACTTTGATTTTTCAGGTGTCTTTGAATTCAGTCCTCTGAAGGTTGATAATTTTCATTTCCATAAAATTATGGGGCATCCTTACATTCTTAACACATTGCCCAGTCCCTATCAGTATAGATATCCAGCATGATTTTTTTTTTAGCAGAGTGTATATATATATATATATATATATATATTCTCTCTCTCTCTCTCTCTCTCTATATATATATATATATATATATACATATATATATATATATATATCCATCCAATTCCAGTGAAAATCCAGTGCAAACTAAGGTACATAGGTAAGTGACCTGAAAATTATGTTATTGAGCATATTTGCCTATATACAGCAGTAAGAATACATTCATTGTGTGGATTTTGTCATTTGGTTGTACAGCAACCTTTCCATGGATGCTATATACTATATATATAGTTGCAGATTGAGCTACGGTGCCCATACACAATAGACTGTTTCAACAGGCTATAAATAGAGATAATTGGTAGAGAAGGAGCCTAAAATTGAACCTTCCAGCTCAGGAAAACAAAACTATATTTATATGCATTATCTCAGATTCGTCGGATTGAATAATAGAAAAATCTTTTAAATTATAATTTATTATTATATAGGTCCTAACCATAATAGATTAAAAAAGAAAATTGAATCATGTAAAGAGAGCATACTGAAGATGAATAGTCACTGGTCTGTCTCTTTAAGTGTACGTGTACATTTTAGGTTGAGCCACTGGGCTCTGTAATCAACAGGTTTTTTTTTTTTTGTTCTTTAGAAAAATAGATATGGATAGCCTAAAAAATGCATAAAAAGGAACCCAATGTTCCAGGCTCCAAGCTGAAAATAAGAATTTAACATTCACATGCATTTTTATAGATACATAACAAAGAATCAAAACATATGTTTAAATCATTTAATTTCTTAGCCTGGCTATAATAATTAAAGGGAATATATATATATATATATATATATATATATATATATGCTCTTCTCTTTAAGAAGCCAATAACATTGCACAGCTTTTACTCAAACAAGATAGGGTTTTCTGTCTCTTGCAGCTATGGTTAACTCATTTTGGTAACAGTTATTTTCGTTCAACTAACAAACAAGCAACATACAGTATGTGCTTGTGTGTAACAAACACTAATTCACCCTTAAAATATTTATTAATTCTCATCTTGAATTTGTGCATTTTTCCTTCTTATGAGTGCACTTCCATATTGGTGCTAGACCATTATGCAGTACTAATAGATACGTAACACCCAGATTTAATGAGGCGGACATGAAAATCACAATACAGACTTCGAATGGTTTATGCCATTTTATGTGTAAGAAGGAATGACTTCTTATTTTTCACTAGGACAGATGATTTGGGTGTTTTCTTTTTGTAAATTTTTCATTCTTGGTGTACAAACCCTTGTTCTCTTCCATTAGCTGCCTTCTCTGCCTGCATTACAAGGATGTCCACAAATATTTGTCTATCCTTTATCTATACTGTTACTTTGCCTTTCTGGCAGACATAGCTTTATTCAACGTCATCTTTAAACGTCCTTTTTTCAGCAGCCCTTCTTGTCTTTTTTCTGATCCATATTATCCTTCTCTTTTCCTGTTTATATCCCAAATATTGCTTACCAGTCATAATGTTCACTGTTCTTGCTCCTTCACATTTCTTTCTGACATTATTAATTGCTGTATACTTCATTTTCAAGCTTCCGAATTGCCTGAAACCTGGTCTTCACCTGAAGAATATACTGTACACATGCATTTCTTAAGATTTTTTTTATAACATGCTGACACAAGGTATTGGTTACTACCAGTGCGGCTCCTGTCCCTACTTTTACATCAAGGAATCAGATTTCCAGATGCTATTGATCAGCAGATGGTCACTCTGGGCTCTTTCATTGCAATTGAGTCAATACCATTCTGGATATTAAGGTAGGGGACCTACTTTGACAAAATTGTGCTGCTGAACACAGCAAGCCTCTCTTAATTTACCACCATGGAACCACAACCCCGTTACTGTAATAAATCTACTGTTTATTGACTTCTGCCCTATCAGGCATTTTACAGTACGAGGAAAATATATTATCTTTTCCTGAGCATAGAACTGACACTGATTCTGTTATCAGATTCACTTTTGGTCCAATCCATCTGATCTCCCTTACTCCCGGAATATGTTGGCTGCATCATTGCATCTCTGCTGTAACCATAGCTGGATGTCATGCCTCTTACATGGTTCATATGTTTTGGATTATTTTATTCGCTTTTTAACAGCATTTAGTGCTTCCTTGATTGGTTTCAAACCTCATCTAGTTTTTACCTTTTGATCTGTGTAACAAGAGTAACTACCTGTAAGGTAGTTCTTAACAGCACAGGGATGGATCATATACATTCTTGTCCCCATTCCCCCCCATCCTACCCAGCCGCCAAATAATATTGATCCATCTCTCAGTTTGACCATACCTATATATGTTTCATTGCTGCTGCTTGAAATTATTTTCCTAGGATTAGAGAATTGCACAAGCTAAGGAGACTTGGTAGTGGTTTGTGGGATATATGCATGTATAGAATTAGGGCTGCTATTTTTTTGTGATTTAAAAAAAGGTTTCAAATTATGTCCATATTGCCAGTTGGTATAATGGAGTGTTAGTAATGTCTCTTTGCAAATGTGCACTTGATTACATGCTAACTTTCAATTATTGTAATGCAATCTTTGGAATGTCAATAATAGTAAAACTGACACTGCATCTAAATAATAAACAAAACACAATAGGCTTTGCAAGCAAGGTTGGC